GCTCCACCCCACCCCGCTGCGCTCCAGACGGTCTGCACAAAGCAAAGCCTACAGCCTCCACTGTGGCTGCCGTCCGCTCTGAGTTCCTTGTAGATCGTAGAGGGCATGCGCGAGATGATTAAATCAAAGCAGCAAAACATGCGGAAATGATCCATGGTTTCCGCGAATCATTAAAAATAATTGCAATTCATTCATTTTTTCTGATTTTTTCATTAATTTCATAAAAAAATGGTCATTAATTTTTATGAAAAAATTTTTTTCGGTGTAACAATAAACATACACCGAACCGAACCGAAAACCGTGACCACGAAACCGTGAACCGAACCGAACCGAACCGTGGATTTTGTGAACTGTTCCACCCCTAATATGAAGATACAGTTTTTACTAAAAAATTATTTGTCCAATGTTGCAGGTTAGCCTTCACTTTATAGTAACTTTTCCACACTTTTGTATTTTTATATATTTTACCTTTCTTTTTATACATTTTCGCATAGTTTTGCTGCCTGTATTTCCCAGCTGTGGAACAAATAAGGGCATTAATCTTCTACTTCATAATACAGGTGCCATGCTGTGTGTGTGCACATCTTGTGTAGATCTAGGTGATGTAGATCCCTGGTACTTTCTGGTCAGTGGATAAAATGTTATGGTGTAAAAGAGATGGAAGAGTGAGCAAAATATGGGTTAATCACAAATGTACTGTCAACTACAATAGAATAATTTCATAAATAATTCAACCACCTATCTACCTACATATAACTATCATTATTGTGATATTTCTAGTCATGACAAGAAAAGAATATGATAAAAAACTGTGACAGGCTTTAGTTAAAAGAATGCTGACAAGGTCCCTTTTTATTATTATTATTATGATTATTGGAAGACATAAAAAAAAAAAAAAAAGTAAATAAGAGAAATGTCACCTGAAGAGTCCTTGATCAAGACGACTTTTAAAGCTTCCAAGAAAACTTGGGTTTTTGAAAGCTCTAAACAAATTAGGAATAATTAAATTAATTTAGAGACGGTTTGAAAGGGAACCCAGGTAACAAACCTGAAGAAACAGTTTTGGTATTTTCTCCTGTTAACATGATGAAATTGGCTCATCTGGTAAAGAGCTAATTGGGTCTAAGATTCATCCTAAAACACCCAACAGCTACCCTCTGAAACTAACAAACTCTGGACTGAATATATTTGGAAAAACAGCAAAAGAACCATCAGATACTCCAAAGACACATTGGCTATAAAAAAAAAATAAATATCTTGTGGATTTCAATTCAGTTTATTTATATATATATATAGCGCTAATTCACAACACAAAGCCCTTTACAAAGATGATTCAACCAGATCATACAGTCAGATTGATTCACAGTTTTCTATCAAACGAAAACCAGTTGATTACATCGAATTCTTTTGTTATGTGTAAACCAGAATCGGAAATGAATCAAACCTCATTTGCATCAATTCTTTTAGGTTCCTTGGTTATTTTGTTTCCTAAATCTTCTGCTGTGACACAAACTCTCTTCTCTCTCCTAAGAAAATGGCCGAGCCCAAAATATCTTCCATCGACGGAAAGTTGGCCGAAGAGTTTGCTGTTCCCTCCCATGTGGAGGAGGTCAAGGAGAAGATGGCCACTTTCGCCACTCATCATGCCCAAGCAGGTCGCAGAGTTGTCCTCATCACGTCAGGAGGCACCAAAGTCCCCTTGGAGTCACGCACCGTCCGTTTCCTAGATAACTTCAGCAGCGGGAGGCGAGGAGCCTCCTCGGCCGAATACTTCCTAGACTCAGGCTACGCCGTCATTTTCCTGCACAGGCACCGTTCTCTCTATCCCTACACTCGCATGTTTCTAACCATCAACATGCTGGACGCCCTGCAGTTCAGGGGAGGAGAAGGAGGCGGTGAGGTAGTGGTGGACCAGCAGGTACTCCCGGACATTGGCAGAGTACTAAAGCGGTACAACGAAGTTAAGGACGGAGGACTTCTCCTTCCCATCGAATTCAACACTCTTTCAGAGTATCTGCATTTACTAAAAGCAGCGGCACAGGCGCTCAGCACTATAGGTAATAAATTTATCAGCTTTAATCCGCTGCTCTGCAGAGGGTGAAAAAGCATCCTTTTTTCAGGAGAGACAAAAAACTGCATGTCTGAAATTGTTTTAAACTTTTGAATCATTTGACTGTAGGTGTATGTTTTCCCATAGCCACATTCTCACCCATGAGGACCATCTGACAATAAAAAATGTTAATTTTTGTTGCATGTTTTCGGAAAAGGAAAATAGCCTATATGTTTTTATATATTCTTAGGAAAAGATCCAGTTTTTATTAGCTATAAAAAGAGAATTTCTAATAACATATTAAACACAAAAGCCTCTATAAGTATTAAAAACGAAAGCTTTATTTAAAGAGACATGGTTTCTATTGAAACATTGAGAGCACTTGGATAAGAGGTTTGTCCTAAATGGTATTTTTATATATCAAAAATCTAGTTTTCCAGTGTGAAAACATGTCACTGCAGTAAAAGATGAATTCATGAGCCTTTCTCTATATCTGTAAGAGGTGTGTATGTTACAGGTTAAAGAGTTGCTTCCTTCTGTTTAAACCCTATTAGCAATTTTTTACCCTTCCCTTAGGATCAAAGGCCATGTTTTACCTGGCTGCAGCCGTGTCTGATTTCTACATACCCGCCTCAGAGATGCCTGAACACAAAATCCAGTCTTCCAACGGGCCTCTTCAGGTAAAAAATAAATAAAAAGAGGAGGAAAGTTCTCAGTAATGTTCACTGTTGGATGAATAAGTATTTATTACTAACAGATAAAGTAAAAATAAATAAATAAGAAAACTGATCTTTTTGGATTTAAGGTACACATTTAGGATTCCCAAACTTCTCTCATTGTGATTCAGAAATGTTAATGAAAGAAAATCCTCCACTTTGATAAAGGCAGATTATAAAATTGCCAGATAGATATGCCAGATGTTTAGTAAAATGCAAGCAGTAAATTTTGGATGTTATTCTGAACCTCTCCTGGTGTGGACCACTGATCTCTATTTATCCACTGGATTCAGAAAAGAATTTAAGTCACCTGCCACCATCTTGGTACTCCCCACTTTCACCCAGTCACGGCATGAACATACTAGTAATGTAATTACCATAACAATGTAATAAATACATGTATATATTACATGTACATCATCAGTGTGTTTATGTGGGTGTAATATTCTTAATATCTGACTACAGCAATATTATGCTCCATTAACACACTAATTTTGTTGTATTGAAATTTGTACAGTATATTATATTACATGATTTATAGACTTTATGGACTTCATACTGAATATGTGATGTGCCTATTTTTTTAACCATAAATTACAATAATCTTCAGATATTATGAAACGGCATATGTCAAAGGGATGAATTTATATTTTTTTAAAGTCTTAAGCCCCCTGAAAATGAGAAAATCATGGTTGTTCGATGCTGTAGCGCACATTTTTTACATTTTGAATGCTCTAAGGAGTATCAATATCGCGGCTGATGACTTAGCAGCACCCTGTACCACCAATGGCCCATCAACAATCCAGTCAATGAACAGATCGGTGGTTCCCACCCTGACCTAAGTAACTTCTTGTTACCTAGCAACCTCAACAGAACGAAAAGATCAGAAGTGTTACTCTTATTAGTTTAATGACTATCACACAATGAGACTGAACGCCTGTTACTTTATGATCATCCAGGAGGATTGAATCCTAAAAAGTCAGCGTCTCGACGCAATCAGCAGGGTTTCCTTTTAAATACTTCCAACTTTCTGTCTGCATGATTTTATTCCATTTTCTCTGTAAAACACCTTAAAATAACCAATTTGTGGGTTGGAAATATGTAAACTGAAACCTGAAGTCAAGAGATAAAAATATCCTGTCAAGAAGTTTAATTATAACTTTAGTCAAACTGATGAGATGCAGGGAAACCAAGGTTTTTCCTTTCCAGCTTCCACCTTGACTGAAAACGGTAGAAAAAAAACAGAAATGGGCAAACATTTTTTGAACTGACCAGGAACTAAAGTCTTTTCCAATAGAATGTTAAGTGGAATAAAAGGGGGAAGAAAAACCGGAGTCTATTAAGACGCTCAATCCGGAGACGCATTTAGAACCATAGTCTCATTTATGATTTTTTTTTCCCCCTCTTCAGCTCAGCATGAAGATGGTTCCTAAGATCTTGTCACCCCTCGTTAAGGACTGGGCGCCTCAAGCGTTTGTCACATCCTTCAAGCTGGAGACGGATCCCAGCATCCTGCTCGACAGGGCCCGGCGAGCCCTGGACACGTACAGACACCAGGCGGTGGTCGCCAACGTGCTGGACTCCCGGCGGGGTTACGTGGTGGTCGTGACCCCGGAGACCCAGGCTGAGCTGGTCCTCACTGAGGAGGAGGTGAAGAAGGACGTGGAGATAGAGGAGAGGATTGTGAGCAACCTCACATCAGCGCACAGCAGCTTTATAACTGGCTCACAGAAATAATGAGCTTAACTTGTCCTGATTAGGATTAGTTCATACCTGATTTTCCCTCTACAGTCAGTTTATGAATACAAACAGATCCAGCCGCTTGTTGTGCGTGTTTGAATGTTTATTCAGGTTATCAGTAAAATATGCATGATGTGTGGATTGTTAACTGATAATGAACGTGTACATCAGTGCGGCTGCAGCTCCACACAGTCTGGACTCGCTCCTGGTTACTTAAGCTTGGTGCTTTTCTTGACGCCGGCCCGAATACCAGACACTTCTCCACCATAACGAGTTTCCTCCCGACGAACCTCCCGAACCTGGTGAGAAGAATCTGGTTCAGTACCTGATGACCCCCAGAAAGCTGTTGATGTTCTAATCCATGCGTGTGATACCAACCTGTCCCTTTCTGCGGATTTTGGCCCGCCGGTACTTTTCTCTGTGTTTGACTCTGGGATTACGGTCTATCTTCTTTCTCTTGGGTGTCAGCCCCTTGTTCTTGGCCATCTGTGAAGGTATCACATTTAATGATTGTTTTAGGTATGAAGAGCTATTCACATACATGAGTGGTCGTTGACTCCTGAGACAATTTCCAAATAAAACTGAAGCACCAAATGTTTCTGCTGTCCAACTACTCACTGCAGATTACATCAGCGAGACCCAAAGGAGAGTAAAAATGTTCAATTAAAAGGTAATTCAGTTTTTGTGTGGTTTGTTCTGGTACCTGATAAGTGATTCCTCTTTTGGCATCTGGATCCAACTCTTCATCTCCCTGATCCTCTTCCTCATTTTCTTCCAGCCTGCAGATTTAACATTTTCTTTTTTAAATAATCATCCAGCTTCATATCTACAGGCTAAAGACTCAAACCAAACTCACTCTTCTGGATTTTTGCTCTTCCTCTTCAGCTTCACCCGTTCCTCCACTTCTTTGTAGAAACGCAAAGCTGCCTCCTCGTCCAAGTCAGAGTCGCTGCTCTCAGGTGGAGTTTCCTCTGAGTCCTGCATCCAACCACATGTTGACATTTAAGATCCAACAGTTTGAGACAGAGAGGCGGATTAATGAGCTCTGAACGAGCAGAGAATGACGGCACCTTTTCCTTTGGTGTTGTGGCAGTCTTCTCTGTCGCTCTGCTCACACGTTTGACTTTCTCATTTGCAGTGAGAAGTCTGCGAAATTCTGGAGCCAGATGAGCATCTACTGCCGTCAGTTCATTGATGAGCTGCAGGCGAATCACAGTAGAATGTGAATAAACTGTTAATAACCACATTAAATCTCACCTCACCAAAGAAAAGGCAGATTACTAAGTTCGTATTGGACTCATCTGATATGAAGTAATAAAATATCCAAAGGTGGTGTTTTAACTCCGACATTGGTGGCCAATGCTCTTTCACAAAATAACCAATTTCAATATCTCCAGTAGGACGGGAAATATGGTGGCTTAAAACACACAAATCTCCTTTAGACTGTAAAAGTTAACACTTTTAAACATCCTTCAGTAACTCAGGAGGATTAAAGCAAAGCTGTGAGTCTCAAAGAGAGATTGCTTTGAGGCCGAGTTGGTGGGTAGGTTTGAAGCGGCAGGTGGGATCGGCAGCATGGCGCTGCTAATGATGCAGCCAGTCGCTGTCCTCCCAGCACGGCTCCAGTGTTTGAGAAAACTGGGCTGTTTTGAAGAAGGTCTCTCTTCAGCGTGTTCTGCTGAGCTGCTTCCTAAAATGGCCCGATTATTGTGCTGGTGCTCAGGAATTAACATTGACCCATTTAGTGCCCCTTTTAATATCAGCTGATTTAATACAACTACCAAAATCCACCGAAATGATCAAGAACTTTAAGTTCGATTGGGAGTTTAACCAAAATATGGGATTTTGTTCCAGGTAGTGAAAAGTGGAAGCAATTTATTATTGAACTACACATAAAAGCAAGATTTCAGTGGGTAATATCCAGCCCAACCACAGAGGGAAGTTTACACTCTTGAGGAACAAAGTGCAAAATAAAAGTACAGTGTTTTTTTTTTTTTTAAACATCAGAGCATTTACTCTTGGCCACCCTGCATCACCAGCAGTGTGCAGACATACGTTTCTGTAGGTGAGCAGCCGTTCTATCACAGGGTGGTTGTGTGCAGGGATCCGTTTGGCTTTCAGCACCAAGTAGAAGCTGATGTTGGTGCAGTAGCTGGAACAGAGAAAACACTCGTTAACTGCTGAGACTCCTCTCTTCTCTGACATGTTACAATCTAATCAGGACTCACTTGAGATAAAGTTGCTGTTTTGTCTGAAGGTAGTCCGCCCCCTTTGGAAAACAGGATGAAAGGAACTGATTGGCTTTTTTATACTCGACTGACCAAAGGTTAACAGACAGGGTTTATTTACAACAAGCTTAAAACAAATTGTGCAGGAATGAGTCTCTCCACAAAGTGGCCTCTTCTAAGATTAGATTAGATGAGCTTTATTGATCTCACAGCGGAGAAATTTACAGAGAAACAGTGGTTTGGTTTAGAGGCGGTTCTGACCTTCCCTGCAGGGATTGTCCCATCTTTGACCATCTCCATGAGGGGCTGAAGCTCGTCCTTGAGCTCAGTGAGCTGCACACACAAACACAGATGAGTTGACGTCAGCTTCTGGAGGTTAGTGAGGTTTTATGAGGGTTGATAATAAGCTGTACCTTTGCTTTGAAGTCATGAATGAGCTCAAGGAGCTCTGGGGATTCTTTCTTCAAAAGCTTCATCTTTTCCTTCTGAGACATCTGCTTCAAATCCTTCACAATCCTCTCCTGTTTCTCTGCAGGTTTGTCCTCCTCCTCCTCCACAGCAAACTCCTTTGATAAAACGGTCCCAGTGAAAAACCTCAACCAGTACGTGACCAACTTGTTTGAAGATTATAGGGGGGGTCATTTGTAAATACCTGAAAACAGCTTAAATCATAATCCTCCTCGCTCAGATTGGCAGCTAAACGTTTCTGGATATTTTTGGCTTCCTCTTCTTCCTCCTCTTCCTCAGCTTCCAACTCTTCCTGTGATTTCCCCTCTGCAATAACACAAAGGGTTAAAAGAGTACCACAATATCGCCCGTTAAAGACACTGCTGATCAGGTGCTTACTGGTGGTGATGTAATCCGAGTTGTAGAACATTTTCTTTTTGGTTCCCCACGCCATTTCATTAGGAAGGTCTGAGGACAAAAATATTTGCTTAGAAAGAAAAACTAAAAAGCTGAACGGAAAACAACAAGGTTTAACAACCCCAATCTTTACCTTCTTCTTTCTTCTCCTCTAAATCACTCTCCATGTCGGATCCCTCTTCTTCCGCCTCCGACTCTGAATCATCCAGAGCCATCACTTCCTCCTTAAAAGTTTGGACAAGTTTTAGTTTGGGGCACCTTTATTATCCAAATTACAATCAGGACAAAAATCATAAATCAAAACCTCATCATCTAGCTCCTCTACGTCACTCTCCATCTGAACTCCACGAGCGAGAAGTTTCTGCAGCACAACAGAAGAGACAGTAAAAAAACAAAACAAGAAAAACGCGACACTCGCTAACAACTGCGACCACAGACTTACAGCGATCTTCTCGTCGTGAAAATTGTCGATCCTGTCCTTGATGAACTCTGACGATTTCTGTCAAATAAAAGCATGCGATCTGAATCAGTTGAGCAGAGAAGATCTTTGGCTGTGAGGGTTGATCAGATATTTATGGTTCTTCAGTATAATCTCCAGCATGGCCTTGTTGTTTCAAATGTATAGATAATCAAACCTCAAATCACAGAATTCTCCAAAAGACCCAAGTAATGTGAGTCAGAATGCATTCCCTACTCTAAGAAAAAAAAAAATTAATAACTGTATAGAGCAAATCTAAAACATCCAGAACATAACTCCTTCACCTTTTGCCACCTGTAAGCATCAAAATTGGACACCAGGGTCTTAAATTTGGTCAAACCCTTAGTCTTTTATTTACCCATATCTGTAAGTTACTTTATTTAAGCGTCAACAATTGGGCTGCACAATATATCTTACATATATGTCAACACTGCAATATTATCATCGTTATACGTTTTTTGGAGTGTTGTTTCTACTAAGCTCAGAGTAAAAGAGTGATGAAAGCTCAGATAAGAAGGTAGATTCCAGTTCAACTGTCATCACAAGGCTGTCCATCATCAAGCAGCATAAAGCTACAGTATATTTATAAAGATTTCCTTCAGCTATATCCTCCTCTCTAAGATCAGGACTGTCAGATTTTTCCAAAATAAACTCCCCCTGATGATCAATGTATTTGCCATCCCTTTATTACTTTAAAAAAAAAAAAGTGGCTTTGATTGTTATTAAAAGTTCAAGAAATCAAAACATTGTATCAGGATGTTTCTATACAGATAAACCAGGTAATTAAGGCATAGTGGAACTATATATCCATACTTAGAAATGTAAATAAACAGCTGCAGCTACAGTGATATTTACAGGCTGAAGCCGTTTTCCTACCTTATCAGGAACTGGCATGTTTCTGTAGGCTTCAGGGTCATCTTCATCATACTGTTCCACCTTTTTAGGCCTCCTCTGTTTTTGAGCTCTACAAAACAAAAACACAAACATGTGGATTTAAATCTGCTGCACTCTCACACTACTTCTCCTTGGCTTGATTTCTTCCAGGTACCATCAATAATTGTAGACTTCTTTGGTTGAAAGTTTGAAGAACCAACAGCCTGTGCTGAAAGGCTGGAGAGATTCATACAAACAAACAGACTAATTCAGGAAAAACTCACCGTTTCGCTCGAACCATGATGCTAGCGATCTGAGCTGAACTGAAAAACTTTCCAAATAAAACAGGGTGAAATCTTATAAAGGGATAAATACACTTCAAATATACATTTGTGTCGCAAAGGTTCCAGTCCAGACACTGGGTACCATGTGCTTCCGTGATGTCTTATTCTTCGGTTTGAACCGGAGAATACCGCCACCTGATGGACCGGCATGTGATTGCAGTGAAGGAGAGAATCAACCCAACCCCGTGCTGCTTTTCTTCTTCTTCTTGAATTTTTTTTAAGGCGGTTGGCAAAAACGTTAGGTGAGCATCACCGCCACCAACTGGTAAGGAGTGTGAACCACATGGCAAAAAAAAAAAAAAAAAAAAAAAACGTGCTGCTTTAAGCTATATAATTGCATTTATGTATTTACATCCTGATATTTTTAAAATGTTTAAATTGAAATCTGGGGAAGTGAATTCTCTGTCAGGAAGATTTAGTTGGAATTAGAGAGGAAAGTGATGTTCAAAATATATTTACTGGCACTTCATTTCCAGTGAATGGTTATATTAGATATAATCAACAACAAAAATGCAAAATTAACTTTTTTGTTATGAAAATGTTTTCCAAAGATCAAGTTAAACACATAAAACAAACATAGAACCTAACAACTATTCGGAAGGATACAAAGAAGAGAGTGCGGGATCAGCTGATTTCATATAAGGAAAATCCAGATTATCTAGTCTTCACACATATTTAGGATTAATAATACTTGGCCGGAGTCTGAAATAAGTTTCTTTTCAGAAGATTAGTGAACAAATAGCAACATAGAGACACAGAAAACAAAACAAAACACAACAGGCAGGTCAGGAAGAGAGGAATAGATAGGTTTAAAGAAATGTTACAGTTTAAAAGGATATCCCAAGTTTTGAAAATCTTATGTTAAACCCTCTGAAAATGGAAAG